AACAACTTTTATAAGCGACCTTATAAATGTTGTGGTTCAATTTATCCTTGGTTTAAATTTTATTTTCTTTTATATTTGGGTATGGTAAAGTATGATAATGATTTTGAAACAAAAGAAAATAAAATTTAAACCAAGGATAAAATTGAACAACAACATGACATGGACTGATTTCAAAAGGTATGGTCCAGTCTGGACCGTGTTGGTCATACAGTTCTGAGCTCCGCAGGAGTTAACTTAAAATTCGAACGACATATGGGTAAAGACAACATACAGATCTTAAAGAAGTAACTTCTCTTCTGTTCTTTACCGTTTGTTCAACGTATATAAGCTTAAATAACTTTTGTTGACATCTCACTTTAATGCCATTTGGAGTGCGTGTTTTGTTTTATATAGACACTGCCCACCGTGACTTAAGCCTTTGCTATTTGAGGGCAGTGAGAAAATAAAATTGTAAATCTGAATAAACCAATAAAAATGAAATGAAATGAAATGAAATAAGGGATTAAGGTGTGGAAGGGGATTCTCCTGATCCCGCTTTCCCGCTCCCTTTTCACGATAATCCCGCACGCATGCCGCATCCCGAACTTATGTCATTTCTATCCCGAATACCGTTTTCTTACCCAATAACGCATCCCATGCCAAGATTTTGGCGTGACCACTTCCCGAGGAGCGGTCAAATCCCGTATCCCGTCTAAAATGTTGCGTTTTCCCGAATCCCGCACTATATTTCGCTCAAACCCCGCATTCAGAAAATACCCTTCTAGACCCTGTTTTTCTGTAGAATTTTGCATTCTTTTTAAGGACCTCCCAGTAAAATAAAACCTAGTTGGAATGCGTTACGTTTCTCTTTCGTCGCTTGCCGGTTAAATGGAAATAAGTGCTCAGTTTCACTTTCATGAAAATTGTGAGAAATAACCTTATTATCAGAATTGCTTTCGGATAGATAAACAATCGCATGAGCATCTCTGAAGATTGGTGTTTGTATAAAAAAAATTAAGTACATCTATATCGATTAGTAATAAGGTAGGATTGTTTATCGCTTGGCGAAATTCACTTTTTAATTGAAGTCGGGCTAAAGATGCCATTGAAACAATTTTCGATATTTTCACTAAGTTGTTTGAAACCTTTATGCAAACAATGGTTGGAATACAATTAATATAAATAATTCCACCTCACACTACAAGGCGACTTGCTCTGCAAAAAACAAATTTTAAAACTATCTTATCACCCTTAAAATGGCATATTTCAGGAATATTAGACGAAGAGAATTAGTCCGATATCGTGCCGTTGTACTAGGAAATCGGCGTATTTTTCACCAAGAAGTCGCTATGTTTCAATTTCATTAATTTTTAAAGTTGGTGTTATTGTCGCGTTTCAAAAAGCTTTTCGACAATTGTCTTCTTAACTTACACTATCTGCATTAAACATTGGATTGTTAATTAGCGTTTAAAGTTAAAGCTGTAGACAATAAAGAATGCATAAGATGGCGAAAAAGTGTTCTCAACCGCGTGGAAGAAACATTCGTTGTAATATTATGTGGAGATTAATGTTTATTTGCTCTAAGATGTTAGGATTTTTAGTTTAATTTGTTGTCAAACAAAGACATTTATCAGACTATCTTTCGTCAAGTCATCAAATTCATATATGTCCTGTATGTTGTTTTTGGTAAAGATGAAAGAAAAAACAAAACGGCTATCATCCCAACGTACTGAAATATGGCATGAAGGTTATCGCGGCAAGAACCGTCCTACTTTTTCATCAAATTTATGACCCTTTCATGCAAGTGATGGAAGCCGAAATTGCCCGTTTACTTAATCTCATAAAAATTTTCAGTTCTTTATTGAAGTTTTGAATTAAATATTTTGAAGTTTAGAAGTCAACTATTATCAAATTGAACGTTCAGAGCATAGCCTTTAAAGCCGGAGAGAATTTTTTCATTGTGATGTAAATGTATTACGAGCCATATTATGTACATGTACTTTGTTTCTGGAACATCACCAAAACTACGGGTAGTCTCATAATAACTTTTCCACTTCTATTCTTAATGGATCTAGGAACCCTGTGGTCATAGACCATAAGAAAAGATATAACTTCATCAATTTGAGAAATTCGAGAAGGGAAAAAACATTTAAATTGGTTTGCTCGCAATCAGCTTGAGAAAGACTGACCGCTTGACAGCTGGTAAAAAATATGTGAAAGGTGAAGACAAAACATACTTTTTAAGCTGTCAAACATTTGTAAACTTGTTGTCGTCCAAAACTAGCAAGAAGTGGTCTTATAGGGTTGAAAAGTTGCACTACAATTATTCTGGAAACTGGGTGGTGTGGTGGAAGGTACCAACCAGCGGAGCTTTGGTAGGTTGTGTTTTATGTGTTACAAATTAAAGTAGCCAAATTTATTGAGACCACGAAAAGAAAAAAGAAACCTCTGGCACTAAGGGTAAAGCTCGTAGTTATTCAGCTTTTATTTCTGTCCATTAAAATCACTTCCATCAATAATTTTTAAGAGGCGTTTAAACTAAGTGAAACAAGTCATATTTTAACTAGGGAATTATAGCTGACTTATTTTAAGCGAGGAGTCGCTGCATTAAATGATTCTCATTAATTTTGAAAGCTGTAGGTGTTATAGTCGCCTCAAAGATCATCTCAACAGGCCTGCTTATATAGAAGGTCGCCGTTTTTTTTTTCACTTTGAAGGGAGAAATTTCGAGGACGTGCGCGCGGATTGTTTACGACACTTTCAAGCCATTACGTCTGTTGAGAGATTTAAGACTCTTGGTCTGTTTGTTAATGACAGCTTGAAAGCAGTTTTAAAAAGACAAAACAGACAATACTTTGTGAATTTGAAAAAGAATGAGTTAACGAACTCAGAGCTTTCCTTAAACAATTATTTTGAAACTAAAACGTGTTGTAGCGACAGGTTTCTGTGGTTTTGTTTGATCATGGGCGAACCCAATTGGACTCAGCCCGGCAGGCGACACCGGCTCTCAGCAAGGTACAGAGGGTCGTTGTCTCTCAGTCACAGGCAGCTCCAAATTAATCAAACAGGCTTCTAAGAAAACAATTTAAGCCACCCTTGACGTATTTGGGAACATTCGGCCGTTGGATGCCCCTGAAAACCGCACAACAGTAAGTAAGCTGAAGGATGCAGAACTCTTCAATCTTTATTCGTTATTGCTAGCAGATTGAACTACGTACCTACACAGGTAATTCGAAGTTTTACAGTAAATGCCCTGCTTTCGTTTGCTCATGGTGCAAAGAGTTATGACACCGTAGTAAAATAAACAACTAAATAGAGATTGATCGAAACCAGTTTTCATGAAGGAAATAGATCTTCCGATAAGATTAGGTTCAGGATATTACTCGAAACAACCGTACGTAGGTAAAAATGGAAGAACTTCGAAAGATACTGACCTTTCAGCCTGACCTGTGCGTTTTCTAATGACCAAATAAGCAGTGATATGTCTGAAATGATGCTCATCAAGTGAGATATTTTTCATCAGATTTTTGAAGTTCCTTTTGAATGTTTTAAGCAATTTATGACTTTGACAGTATACCCGCTAAAGAGGAAAGTTTTTCTTTAAATCTGCAGTTAAAACAGCGGCATGTCACTCACAATAATTTTTTTCAGTTTCTCCTAGTCGTCTTTCTTAGCAAAGATGTTATTTAAAAACAACAAGAAGAAAAGAATCAGAGCTATGCTACGAATCTTAGACTTTGTTGTAAGCAGATCAGTGAAATATAAGGCATGCCGTGATGCTTGTTCCCTTTTTCAGACTAGAGAGTTCCAATTTGAGAGGAGTAGAAATTACCTAGTGTGTACCTCATTACATGGTCTCACGAAAATTCGGTTTATTTGTAATTGAAGTGGAGTTAAAGATGCTAAAGTCAGTTTAACGATCAATAATTAGAAAGTGAATGTGAAAAATTCCATCTTTTGGCTGTTTTCACTTTTTGTACAAAAACATTTTAAGATTAGGAATTCCTCTTGATTAGAAATGGCATTTCTCTCGAAAACTCATTAAATCTAAATGAGAAATCGATACCGTGGTCGATACGTTTAGTGCTCGCTTTAATTTCAAACTTGATGTTATGTATTCATCTCAAATAACATTCTCAATGGATTGTTTACTAAACATTCACAGCCTGAGAGCGTCGATTTGCTAATGACATCTTGAAAGTAGTTGAAGATCTGAGATCCCCTCTAGTTTTAGATCCATTAGATGTGAAACTTTTTTCGAGAAAGAAACGACTAGGCCCCATCAACACAACTGAAAAGTTTAAAGTAATTCTAGAAAGAGGCAAATATTCAGTGGTAAAGTCGCCGGATATTTTGCTAGTTGCAAGTTAACTTTAAAAGAGAGGATACTTAGTTATCCCGGCTAATTCGCGCCTTCCAGAAAGAGTATTAAAAATTTAACTTTTTTTAAACGTGTAAAAAAGAGCTGGTAGACCTTCGCAGCTTTTTACCCCATGTTAAATGATTTCCACCTTTTTGTTTCTAAGAGGTGGGGGAGTACATTTTGGAGGATTCCTAGTGTCAGACTAAACAAATGTTTTCATTTGCCTCAAGGTCATTGAGTCTTTGTTGATATAATGTTTGAATACGGTTTCTTAGCTTAATATTAAGTTAACGTCGTTGAAATTTATCCTAAGGGATAAATTTTCAATTAGGTACTTAATTTTTATTATACAGTACTTGGGGATGCAGTAGTGAACTGGTATTCATTAACAGTTTGATGACATTAGCTGAATATTTCTTCTTTTCTTAACCGAAGACCTCGAAATGACATATGAATATTGAAATTTAACATCACTATAATTATGTTAAGTTGGCAAAACACTTTGAACTGCGATACCCACTTGGGATGTTTGATAATGGTTGGTTGAAAAATGTCAAAAAAATTAAGAGACAGGGAAGGCAATTGAAGCCAAAGATAAGATTGTTCAAATACACATAGAAAATACATTCAAATTTAACTTCTGGAAACTAGGTGTATTATGGAGGATGTCAGCCAGCTGGAGGTTGCGTTTTGGAATAGTTATCCCACGGTAAAGAAATTTCCATCTTAAGGACACAATTCTATCTGATCGTTACGACTTGTTAACAAAATTCCCTCATATTCCTCTATATGGCAGTTACAGAGGAACCTTTCGTAACGAACCTCTACTAAACGATTTTCTCTACCAAGAAATAGTAAAATATATGAAAAAAGACCCTCGATATAACGAAGTCTCGTCATAGCGAACACATTTTGCCAGTCCTTTGGCCCTTCGTCATATCGAGGTTCCAGTCTACCTCAAAATCACCTTTCCAATCTAGATGCACGTATATCCCTGCAAGTTGAAGAGCGATTTTCCAACCGTTGTTGCCACAATGAAAAAAAAACAACAAAAACTAAAAGACTTCTAAAAGTAAAAACAGACAGAAAATCGCCGCCCTTTACTCTGGTTCCCCTAGCTAGCCCCTCATTGGGAGATAGGCAGCAACAGTCTCTGCAGAGTTCCCTCCTGTACCGGTCCACTCACACGGGGGCCAATGAAACTTCGCAAAATAATAAACATATAAACATATTTTTCAACATATTTATAAAATAACTAAAATGGTACGCGCGCTCTGATTGGCCGAGAGGAGTGTTTGCATGAGAGTATGTAAACATGGTTGTGGGGTAAAGATGTTTAATTTGCTTTTCGCGCGCTAATCACGCAAAGCTACGCAAGCACGAATTTGAAAAAGTTTTCGAGTTCAAAACTCGACAAGTTTACTTTATTTACCCATTACTTCGTTGGCTGAAACTTGGAAAATCGTTACAAAGAAGGTGCGTCAATTGTTTTCCGCTTAAGCTGACATTTTAAGCCAGAAAAGTCCGTATTTTGGAAAGCATCTTTTGGCAAAACAAGAACTGATTACGCGTTCAAGACTTCGTGGACAAGACTTTGCAACTGGTAAGAATTTCTCTTTTAATCAGTGCCATCATACAAAGAGTTTTGCGTTTTTTCTCGGGAAAGTTAGTTTATAAAAGGAATAGAAAACTTTTTTCCTGTGTTTGCATAGCCTGATATAAACACTCGAGGCGTTGGGAGAATTCTCGACAGTTATGCAAACCCTCGACTTCGTCTCGGGTTTGCATAGCTGTCTCGAATTCTCCCAACCCATCTCGTGTTTATATCAGGCTATGCAAACACAAGAAACGTTATGCAAGCCGGAGGCTTCGAGTCATAGCCTCGTTTTGGTGCGAAAGTTTTTTCTCGTCTTTTGCCGATTCAGAATACGCAAAATGAGCCAACATCTAGTTTACTTGCATTAGATACTATTCTACGACCCTAAGTGTCTTGTAAGCAGATTTAAAAAAACATAAAAGCATAAAGCGCATAATTCACTTTTCTAGTAAACATTTGACGTTTTCATGAGCAGCGGAAATGAACTGTTTGCCTGTTTTCTGCCCGGCTGGTCTCACGAAAATGCTTGTTTATAATTTAACTTTGGAATCTAGGATGTTGAAGTTTAGAGATCATCGATTTGAAAGTGAACATGAAAAAATTCCCACACCTTTTGGCTGCTTTTTTCAGATAGGTACGATACATTTTGAGATAAGGGATCATAAGGAACTCCGGATCTTGATTTTAGAAGTGGCATTTCGCACGAAAATTGCTTTAAAACTCATTAAACCCAAATGAGAAAATCGATACATTAAGTACTTTTTTTAAAATTATAACTTCGTGTTTTATTTGTCTTAAAACTGAGTATTCTCCACGGATTGGTTACTAACATACACAGCTGTCCGATGGTCGGCCACGACAGCTTGAAATCAGTTGATCGAAGAACTAAGACCTTCTATAGCAGATAAATTACTGAGACAAGTTTTTTGTTTAAGTTCGAGAAAAAAACGTTTAGAGCCGCGTCAAGGCAACTGAAAAGTCTTCAGTAACTGAATTACCAAAAGAGGTAAATATTTATCAGCGGAGTAGGCTATCTCTCGTGTTGTAAAAGATGTGACACTAAGCCTGACTCACGTTCACACGTGTTTGTAAGTAACCTTTTTTAAAGTGCAAATAGTGTATGTTTTGGGGATTCATAGTGTGGACTGATCTAAATGTTTTCTCAAGCCGCCTGTATTTCGTTTGGAGGTGATGTAGACTTTTGTGTTACGTACAGTGCGGTTTCTTATCTTAGTTTTAACCTTGTCGTAATTTGCAATTGTGATACTGAGCGCATTTTGCAGTTGGATATTAAATTTACCGGATGCCGTAGTTGATATACCTATACAGTTTAATGACATAACAGCTTAATGGACAAGTTTAGACAACCTTTTCTAAACTTATATTTCTGAATTGTTAAACCTCGAAACCGCCTTTGAACTGCGTAGGTGAATCCTTTGAACTGTGCAGTCTATTTGGTACATTTCCTAATGGACATTATAGATATTTTGACCAGTATGTCAAATGGATCCAGCATCCTTTTGTTGTTTTTTTTAAAAGGCATTTTCTCAATGCTTTAAAGTTAGTCTTTTGCCTCGGTTTTTTAAATTTGTGAATGCAACTTTTCCCACAATAATTAAACGCCTATAGAAAAGCAAAAGTACCCAGACCTTCTTTATTCTTCCCCGAAGTTAATCACCTCACCAAACTGTGGATTTTGCTGCAGACCTGAACTATATAAATGAAGAACGTTTGTTTTCACATATATATGACGAATTCACAAAATGCCCACCAGTAGGTAGAAATTGACGCTGCAATCGCACGTGTAGTATGAATTAGAATGCATTCCAGCGTTTTTGCCATAGGTTCAATTTCTTCTTTCATTTTATATCAGAAATTAATTTCGCAGAAATGGAACGGGTATATATTTCGTGGTGACTTACGATTTTGCGATTTGGCCGCAAAAATTTATTGAAAGAAACTAAATTTCGCGAAGATAATTTCAAAAATGATCTGCATTAATAAGAGTTAACTTTCCATAACAATAGCTTTCAATGATCCTTTTCATAAAAGCTACGGTAAAGCCGTCTTTCTGGGTGGATTGCTGACTCGCAGTAGGCCATTGTAGAGAAATTTCTAGGCCTACACGCCTTTTTCTTTTGCGAGGGGAGGGCTCATTTACACCACAGTTATGGATTCGAAGCATCGAGAATCCCCCCTTGTGAAAGGGTAATTTGAAATTGCAGTCAAAATTGTTATTGAACGGTGTAATGGTTTCTGGATGCTTTGAACGAGAGTCACATCCCCGCGCACCGCTTTTGATGGCAGCCATTGACGAATAGACTTTGCGTTTTCACAATTCATATTAATTTAATCTTATTATGCAAAGGAAAACATTTCTTGCAGATATATTTACAGGAAAGACTAATGAGTGGACAGTAAAAAAATAATATCAATTTTATGTTAGTCAGTGGCAACTTCGGGCGTGAGAGATAAAGAAAATTTTCCAGGTGTCCTTGAATCAAACCAGGCTTTTTTGGCAGAATATTCAACAGACCCAGAACCGTATGAATGAGAAATACGCTGAGTATACATATATGAAACAGTCAAAGAGAAAAATATTTAAATGCTGATTATTCAGGCTGTTTATTAACATAGAATTTCAAATGTTTCAGTCCACAAAGTGCGCATACTAGATGGCAGTTTTTTGGTTTGATCAATTTTCCTTAACGAATCGCCTCGAAATTAACTCAGTAGGTAAAACTGGTTCGAAACGAACTGACGAAGCTGTTGTTATATTGACCTCAGAATTTTTTTAGAATAATGCGGAACATCAAAGGAAAAATAATCCGGAAAAATAATAAAAAAACTCAACTAATCCGGAAAAATAATAATAAAGACTTTCCTCAGGAGGCATTCTCATGATTTCAGAGAAATTGAATTTCTCTCCTCGTCACTCATGTTTGTAAATTATACTGAGGTCGTCCGCGCTCCCTTTTTAAACTTAACCATTTTTCGACAACAGCACACCGATAAATATTGTCTAATAGCTTCTTTAGAAAGAATTTTAACCGTCTGAAGCTTAGTGATTCACTGTAGTTTACCCCGATGATTTAAGCATTAATTGATATAGTCGGCCTGCAATTCATTAGGCAAATTTCAAGAAGATATAACCCATTTAGATTTTAAACCTTATACCGTTTATGCACCTGAATTTGATTAATAAGAACTCTAAAACTATTTTCATAGGCAGTATTTTTTCTTTCAGCACAAAAAAGAGGCCGATTTCTGATTAGAATCTCAGTAAGACAACAAGATTGATTAACCTATAAAATCTGAAACCGAATTCGGTTTCCCCACTAATCCTGAACGTTAATTTATAACGGATTTTTACAGGGACAAACCAAAACTCTGCATTCAACTTTAATTGTTGCATTAAATATAAGATATTCATATATTCACTATTTAATTGCTGCTTTTGAATGAAACAAATCGCTCTGATGTCGGTGACGCAGAGCTTTTAATTCACTGAAGTTTTTAATAGTTCATCTAATGCAACTTTTATAGGGCGGCTCAAGTCTGTCGCATTGATTTTAGTCGTTAAAAAGAATAAATAACATGAATTTCACATTTCATCCTTGCAGGTTCATCTCAACCTTTTGTTAACAAGCTGTTAAGGAAAATTCGCCGCAGTCTTTTTCCTTTAAATTTGAGCACGAAATTCACTCGTAAGTATAATTTTAAAAATACTGCGTTCTGCACACTTCCTTATTACGGAAACTCTGATAATCCAGATGGCAGCTAAATCCCCGGCAAAACTCTCCCACGTTTGACTCTAATAGACTCTTTCGAGTCTAACGACCTCGCGTTATCACATTTACAAAGGTTAAGCGACAGCACTATTTTGTTATTCTAACACTTTGAAAGTTCAGACGCGCCCACTGAGAATCGTCTTGAATTTCCGCCAATACGGACTCCGGACTGCACTAGCCCGCAGTCTCGATGGTGTTTAGTGTAATAATAGGGATTGCCGACTGCACTGCAAAGCTGCATGTTACAGTGCATTTCTTGGCCAACATTTCTTGTTTTAAACATTTCTTTCTCTTGTTCAACATTTCTTCATATCCTTTCGAACATCTCACTAAACTATATGATGTTTGAGATGAGTTTTCTAAGCCTGGTTTTCTTTTCTTTAATTTCAGAATCATGACAGGTGTGCAAAACAACACGACAGTGACCAACGGCACACAATCTCCAGATCCTGGTTTGCCAAATTATCTCGAAGAGCCTCTGGCAGCCACCGTATTCCAGATCACATTGTGGTCAATGGTCGCATTTTTGGGAGTCATTGGAAATCTTCTAGTCTGCATTGTAATACTAAGGCGTCTAAAGAAGACCTCAATGAACTATTACTTACTAAGTTTGGCCATAGCCGATTTGGGGGTACTGGTTATCATTTATCCTGTGGCGGTATGTAAATACATTAAGCCATTTGTGTGGCTCCTGGGGGAAACATTTTGCCTGTACATGATTCCGACGGAGGAAATATTCTACGGAGCCTCTATTTGGTCGATAACAGCTATTGCAATCGAAAGGTATAGAAATATCGTTGGTGCCAACCGATATCAGGTTTGGAACAGGTCTAAAGCAAGGACTGCGTTTGGAATCTTTGCCGTGTGGTTGTCGTCCTTTCTGGTCTCATGTGTACCCCTGTACCCTGTCATGAAGTTCTACCCAGAAGGGCCCATGTGCGTTCCCAACATGAGCAAAACGTATGTGGTTACATACTTTATAGCTCTCGTCGTTCTTTGGTACGTCCTTCCCTTGGCCGTCATAACGTTTACCTATGTTAAGATAAAACAAAGAGTTCTGGTCAGTGCTACCTTTCGTAACTCGATGGCGATTGACGACAATCAAGACTTCACCAAGCCTCCGAAACAGTCTGTTTTTTCAAGACAAAACAAAGACAGGAGATTGTGGAGGCAAAGTAACAAAACTAAAAGAGTTCTCACACCTCTTGTCATCTTATTTGCCGTGACAATGTTTCCTGTGAATGCTCTCCGGATTGTGGTACTCATAGATAATAACATTTGGATGAACAAGTACTACAACCTGGCCATCGGCATCATGTCATTGTTCGTCATCGTCAACTCTGCCGCCAATCCTCTGGTGTATTATCTCACTAGCAAAGAATTCAAGGAGGCGTACAAGGCAGTCCTGAAGGCCTTGCGAGGAAGGCGTAAGGATTTTCTATATCAGTTTAGGCGCAGTTCCTCAAGGTACAGCTTTGGATTACCATCTTCTGGATCAACAAAGACGGTAGACATAGGAATTGACGCAAAGATGTTCTCCAACGGCTTAAACAATGGCAACTATCGTCAAAGCGTGGTTTCTCAGTTGTCTCATGGCGATGTCCAGTTTGAAAGTGGCTTGTGATATTGTTAAGTAAACTGTGTAGTGGTTCTCCATGAACGCATTACTTATAAACCTGTTTTATTATTTATTTAGGCGAAAAAAGCGAGAGAGTAGTAAAATAGTGAACGAGCGAAAAACGGCGGGACGCTCCTCGCGGTTTCCACGCAACTTTTATATTATCGATCCGCTTCCCTTTGGACCAGGCTATTATTTATTCAATGAAAACGAAAAATTCAATGCACTTTTATTCAATAAAAGGAAAATAGACATGAGGCTAAGAGCGCGGGGCTTTGAGTATCTCCCACAAGCGGAGGTCATTTTAGAAATTTTTAGTTGAGTTTCACCTACATTATTCACGTACTATTATTACAACAGTTTCTTGAGAAACATTAGAATTTAAAACAAGCGTTTATGACAATTGTATTTATAAAAGATACTGAATTATTCGCCTAGGGCGAAAATGACCTTTTTTATATTAGCCACAAAAAATACGTGAGTTATTGATTGATCCTAATACACTGTTATACCGATGCAGTTTTATAAACTGTTATTGGCAGCAGAGCTATCGATTTCCTTGTCAAGGTACGTAAACTTGCTCGCGGGTAAAAGGGAAACTTGACAACCTTATAACTTCTTTTAACACGTGCTTTTTTTTCAATTTTTTTAGTAATTTTATATATTCTCTTTTTAAGAAAATAATAGAGGTTGCGTTGTTTTCATGCAATTTGTTAGCGGGAAACTGAAGTTAGTAGAGCGTTTTCACATGACGTCAAGGCGACAATGTTGGCGTTCCAAAACAGTCCTGTGGGACTCAGTTGAACTCTTTTTTTCTTATTTAAACGCTTTGTTTGTTTGTTCTATAAGTTTGCATAGGTGCTGACCACGAGAGTGAAAACGCTCTGTTAGAAATTCATTCACTGCTAAAGTATGCGCGGACCGAAGGCGAGTGTGTTCAGCGCTCAGTGACTTCCCTTGAGCAAAGGTTCACCATTTGAAAGTTGAATTTGCACGATTCAACAAGTTGTTAAGTTTAGTTTTCATTTAGTGGTGGAGTATAAGAAATCAAACTTTGACATATCATCCGCGTAAATCACAAAAGCAGTGGATGTAAACAGCGAGAATAGAATGCTAACATGATGGCTATAGCGATAAATATTTTATAGTTTGTTAGTTTCTGCTGTCAAGACAGCTGAATCAGTGCAAAAGCTTCACTGAAGGAAAAAAAAAGAAACGGAAAACAAAATAGCCTAACCTAGCCTAGGCTAGAAACGTTGCACTGACAATTCATACTAATATTGCTCTATTTATTAACTCTTGTATGCCAAGTCGAGCTAAGAGGTGTACTGTTATGAAGGTATACGAAGTGTTGTATAATATGTACAGGCATTCTGATTGAACGCATATTGTACCGGTAGATATCAGCAAACTAAATAAAACATTTAAACCCTGACTTTTGTTGATCACCTGAGATTGATTATTCTGAATGTGTTAAGACGGCGAAGCAATAGCCTCATGCTAAACAAAAAAGGCGAGTCCATTAAGTCAGGCTTCTCCTTTTCTACTAGTACCAATCGTACCATTAGTAGCAATAGATCATCGGAATACCCCGCACAATGGAGTTTATTTGTGTAAACCGGAAAACCTTCAAAGAAATGACGTCGCGGTCTTTGAAACTTCAAAGCTATCATTTCAACTCGCATACCGTATTTATTCGATTAACCGCCCCGGGCGCTTATTAAATTTTTGGACCTTGAGGGTGGGCGCTTATTCGAGGCTGGGCACTTATTAAAATTTCACCATTTTCAGCAAGTGTAGTATGTTTATTTTGCAACAAAACAATAGATGGTAAAAAAAAACGCGAAGATGTAACAAAGCAAGGTTCCTGTAAACTACTCTGACGAAAACTCCGTCTTCGGGGAAGTCTCTTATTAGTAATTATTCAAGTTTTTTTGGGAGGGGGGGAAGCTGAAGGGGGAGGTGAGGGTGGGCGCTTATTTGAGTTTGAGTGTGAGGAGAAGGGGGTGGGATGGAGGTGGGCGCTTATTAACTTTTTCTGCCGTTTGGATGGGCTCTTATTCGAAGTGGGCGCTAATTCGAGGTTGGGCGCTTTTTCGAATAAATACGGTATATTGTCAAAAGTAGGGGAACTCCGCTGGAGTTGAATTCTTAACTCGGCTATAAAAAAAAAAGACAAATTCGTCGTAGTTTGTTCAGGTTCTCGATATGTATGTTGTAGTTAATTTTTTATCTCAATTAATTTTTATTTTTCCATTATGTTTGGGTATGGTAATGTCTGCTAATGAATTTGAAAAAAAAACGAAAAACAAAAATAAACTGAAATAAAAAATTAACTACAACATGTACAATATGAAAATACATCTGGGCAATTTCTCGTCGTACTGGCGCAGTAACGGCAAAGTTGAGGCTAACCCGACTGCTTTCTTGACGTTCTGTTGCCGTCGTCCTAAGGTTGGGAAGTGATATCTAGGATATATCTTACTTGGAAGCTGTTTCCTCCAATTATTTTCCTTAACATTGCCCGCCAGACACCCCTTAAATTATGATGGAGTGAAGTAAAACCAATCTACCGTTCCGCCCTCTGTAGGGTTGAAAGTTAACCTGCGCGGGGGCGTAGCAGGAGCCTAAAAGCAATATCCACAAAAAGATCGAGGTGTGCGAAAGAGACACGCGTGTCTCCCTCGCGTGCCCCGTTTTCTCTCTCAGGCGACTGCTACGCAGGTTAGATGAAAGTCCAGTCTCTTAACCACTACATTTTCCTTCATTTGTGATCTTTTTACTCCGAAGTTTAACTTTGATAAGTGCACCAAATATCGAATTCAAAATAACTTCGGCGATACAACTTTAAACAGTGTTTAAATTCTTATTATTCCTTAACACTTAAGATTTTTTAGACCAATACGTTAACACAAGTGTGGGGTTTTGATAGACGTGTGACATGTGAAAAGCGGAAGACCTTTGTCTCTTCCGGTTCCACTTTACAAAATAATAATATAGAAGCCACACGTCCGCAATTGTGCTTCACTTGTATTTCCAGCATTTAGTCTTGCTTGGTTCCCAGGGCTCTGAGTCGTTCAATGAGCGGTGGATGGGAGTAGTGATAAGCAGAGTACAGCTTGTCTGCCACAGGGAACCCAAGATTATCTTTATGGAGCTTTATTAGAGAAGAGCGTAGATGACCAGAAAATCCAAGAGATTTTGCAAAAGCGTCTGCTTGAAACTCGAACTTCCGGCTCAGCACGGTCATTAGAAAGCCTAACAACTAAAATTACAGCAAACGTTTAGAGAATACACTCGGTTAATCGGCCACCAGGCTAGGCTTAGAGAAGAGACATACATGTACAACCCATCACATGTACATAGAGGATATTAAATGGCCACTTGAAGATAAGAAATTTCTCTTCGAACGTAGAAAGATATATTTTACTCGTTCGCTGCGCTCACTCGTGAAATATGTTTCAGCAGGAGAAGAGAAATTTCGTATCTCCGCGCGGCCATGTAATATCCTCTATACATGTGAGGGGTTGTACATGTATGTCTCTTCTCTCAGCCTTATCATATTAACACCAAAAAAATACCAACCCATTTTACTTTAATAATTTTGCGCTACGAATGAAACGCGCGCTTTATTGCGTAGCCATAGCAACGGTGATCTTTTCACAAGTGAACTGAAGATAACATGTTAATCTCACATGTGAAAATATCATGTTTTCGCCCAAAAGCTCACCTGGTATTTCACTGAAGTTTATAGGATAAAAGAGGTTTTTCTTACGTACAACGATATATTGAGAAATTTAGCCGAGGAGGTGACTCTGTATCTAGGACATTTCTGTGCTTACCTCATTATAAGGTGAAAATATAAACTGGAATATGATAACCAGGCCGATCATGGTGGGTTGAGAGTTAGGAAAACCAAAACTGGTGAACAAGACCTTGTAGTGCATCAGGTAACCAAACATCATAAAACAAAGGAACAAATTCACCTACAGACAGGAGAGCAAGCAGTAGTTAGAAAATACCCAGATTGATTCTGAATTAACGGATGTGATATTTGCTAAGGATGAATACGGGTACGTTTAATTCAGACACGCTTGGTTGTAGCCTGCGAGCAAGCTCTCCTATTTGGGCAAGCGAAGCGAGCCTCGCGAGAACGCGCGAGCGAGGGGCCGAGGAAAGGTACTAAACAAGGCGCTTGACACAAATGAATACAACTGATGAAGGGTTTTCATTTTCCTTCCACAAGAACTACAAACTTGGTCCGACTTATCCTCGGCACGCAATATTCTCTTTGCGAGAATTACAACAAACGAGCCCGTCTGCATTGAGGGCTGAAACAAGTTCTCGGTACCAATCGGATCCCCCTGAGAACCAAATTTGACACACAGTCGAAGCGGGTGCCAGCTTGGCCTGTTATCAATCAACTTTGATTTCCGGAACGTCATTTTTCAGCCAATGGTATTTCCCTTCGTCTGGGCGAAGTACAAATGAAAATTTGTCAGGGATGGTTGCAAGCTCTCCTTTCCTCTGCCCCTCGCGGCTTCGCCGCTCGCTCGCGTGTTCTCGCGAGACTCGTTTCACTCGCCCAAATAGGAGAGCTTGCTTGCAGGCTAGTTTGGTTGAAACTGAGAGTACCGGTAGCTCATAAGCGAGGAAAGGTAAAACGCAAAGGCGTTGAGCCACGGGATCACTAGCCTGAGAAAAAAGCCTACATTTCGCGAAATAACGTCTGAGAGAGGAGTACAGAAATTCCATACTGATGACGTGACACTACCCAGATCTGAACAGCGTTTCTGATTGGCTGAAGCACATTTTCCACACGACCAATCAGAAGCACTACCCAGGTATGGGTAATGACGTGTCATCAGTATGGAATTTCTGCGCTCGTTCCTCAGAAAATCATTTCGCGGGGAAACCAGTGGTACCGTAGCATCACAAAATGTCGGCTGCTTTTGTGCTACGGGGATGATATGATCGGGGCATATCTCGTATTTTGTAGTAAGAGGCAAATCGTGCGCTCCGAACGTTAGCTATTTAATCTTTTTACTGTGGAAAATTCACATTATCATTTGAGTCAACTGAGTTGGTAAAATCAAGCCTTTGTGCTTCACTTCCCCACCGAAATATTGATGAATGGTTTCCTTTCACTGGAATACAATGTAGGTGAATATCGCTAAAATTGTGTACATTATTTTTGATTCGAAACTCGTTAAATTTTTTAACATTTTTTGGCGTAGAGTTATGGAAAGTTCTAGGTGACTCTATCCTAGAATTTTTTTTTTTTTTTTTTACCGCAGTGCACTCACAAACATTCCCCCTTCGCCCCCCAAAAAAACAATGCTGAAGTCCGTATGGATCATTTCTGACCCCGACTGAACAACATTTACCAGGGTGGGGGTAGGGGAGGGGCTATAGCGGTACCAAATCCGCGGAAAAGGCATGCTGTGGGTAAGAAAATTAAAGTACAAACTTCCTAACACTTTTTGTCCAAGATTGTAGCTTGGTGTAGGGTGAGGAATATACTCTAGGAAGCAGGTGAATCACTAAAGGAAACAAAAAAACTCTAGGTGAATTGCGGTCGTTTCGACCGAAGGCGTTCGCTAGGACTTAAGTCGATCCGCCCGATGACATACAACACTCTTTAACACGGTGAACATACTGATCGGAGATGTTATTTCAGTAAACCTTGGATTTCACATGTGCAGTCATTGTCTTTCCATGCTTATTCCTTTTTCTCAGGTTTAAAGAACGACAAATACACATTACGCGAATCGACTTAGTCTGCGCGAACTGGCCATTGGGCGAATCGACCTTCGGGCGAAACGACCCGATACCACTCAATGTTACCTGTGAGATAGTAAGGTTTTTAAGAGTGTGACTGAGCTTCCAGTGCCCAAGCTCGTGTCCTAATACTGCAAGTATCTCATCGTTTGAACAGCCCTTGGGGGCCTTTTTCTCTTCACTTTCAGTTGTAATCTGCAACAGCAGAAACACTGTTAGATACCCTGACGAATCGGACGGCTTCTTTAACAAATCGTAACTTTTCGCTAATGGTAAGATTGGAATGGGCGTTTTGACGAATCGTATCCGTTTGTGTACATTGGACACGTGTGAAGTGTACGAACTAGAATAAACGATACAGTAAACACCCGCTAAGAAGAACCTACATTTTTTGAGGTCTGGCAAAAAAGTTCTTTTATTTTGGGGTAGTTATTGGTAATTTAGGCTAAGTAGGTATTTGATTACGTTCTTAATTTCCATGAAGGAGATATAGTTGTCGACTACCAGAAAAATAAAGAAACTTGAGTTTTTTCTCAGTAATACTTCTATTTGTAATTACAGTTTGGTGCAGTATCTTCTTGTAACATCAATTGGCAATTTGGAAGTCAAACTTCTTGGTTAAAATGTTCATCTTAATTTACCTGTAACCCACATATAAGAATCTGCTTGATTTTGCTTTGCTAGACAGGTTCTTATATATATTTTTTCTATTAAAGTGCCAAATTTCTGCCAGCAGTTCCTTAAACCACGCGTTCTTATTATCAACGATACCTCATCTTTGGTGTCTTCCTTATTGCTATCCACTTCTCCATTTTCCTGATTGATTTCATCACCTTCGTTGCCATCTTTGTCTTCTGCGGTACCGTTTTCACCTTCATCCTTCTTCACTGGATTGTCAGCCAGTAACGTGTCAAACAAAACTATTCTCTTGTTTTTAAAGAAGCCATAAAAATAAGCATTGCTATGTGAGGATCGCTTGGAACCGTCTACGATATAAATCTTGGTTAATGGAAATGAGATCTGGGCTGCTAGCTGTTCAATTGAAGTGCGCAAGGTCCCCTCAGGAAGGAGAGTGAATTTATCAAATAGAGGAGCAATGTAGTCCATGTAGACAGTGACTAGAACCTGAAAGAGAATTATAGATGTATTATTCTTGCTTGTTAACACATTGATTTTGTTACAAATAGTTATGGTGAATCCTGGGACTCATCTTGTGAAAAATCATGGGACCCAGTCCAGAAACAGTGAGTCCCAGTTAAAAAAAGAGAGTCCAAAATTGAACCTGCTTGGGCCTTTATGTAACCAGACAGTTAATCTGAAGGCAGACTCCAAAACTCTGCATTACAGTATACTGAAATTACAATATAGTCCTTCTATTTTAAAGCACAACAAAGGCTAAAAGAAACATGCATCGTTAAACAACAGCCATTATAATCGCCACAGAAATGACACAGACGGGTAATTTCTACAAATGCACATGTTAAAATCGATCAATCAATCGATCGATCTTTGCATCCTACTGGATGCATGCCATGAATTTTATGCATGAGGGACGCAAGATGCAGAGGTAACAAAATGACTGTAAACATAATTATTATTTAGCTGAATTATCTAAAAAATTAATACCCAACTTAATATGACTTTATAAGTCATCTTCAAGGGTAGATTCATCTACTGATGCAAGTGCTGTAAGTAAATTTGCCAGTGTAAAAGAGACTCAAAAGGAAATATGGTCACTAGCCCTTAGGCAGAGGGAGTCACGAGACTGTAAGTGTGTGGATTGCAAAAAAAAAAAAGAAGAAAAAACATACAAGGAATGAAAATTGCTTCTTTACAGTCAAGTCCCTCTTAACGGACACCTCTATAAGAAGGACACCTAGCTAAAATGGACACCTTTCTTTACACCTTCCATTCTTTACACCTTCTAATGAGCTGACTCTCCATAAGATGGATATCTCTCTAAAATGGACCTCTAGTGCTGGCCCCAAAGGTGCCAAAGCTAAAACTGGTGGATCCAGGGGTAGAGTCCAGGGGATCTGGACCCCCCTTATCAGACCTGACACTTGTTTGAAACTGAAATTTTTACATCGACAGGATTGTATGTCACTTTTAAACTGTCCGATTTTTTTAAAATTAAACACGGGTTGCATTTTGCCACTAAACTGAATTCCAGGGACATTTGAAAATGTAATTATTTTGGGGTATCCTCCTATGATCCGTTGCCTCTCCTTGCAAAGCAGTATTTCCGGCACCAATGGTGACTGGCGTTCACAGATTGAGAAACACGTGGTCATCTCTGTGAGAAGTAATTTGGCACAAAAAAGTTCAACAGACCGTTCTGAACCAAAGTTTGGAGGGGCGAATCCAGCAATTTTGGATTGGGGGGTGGAGACATGACAAGGGGTGGAACCTTTCTACAGTAATCAAGCCAGTACTCACCAAAGTGACCACAAGTGTAAAGAGCCAAGTGTAAATGAAGAAATATTGGCCTCCCCACTTAATGATGTACAATAATGCTGCCACTAAAGGAAGTGATATTGCTGACATCACGGCCAGCTTCTTCACACGATCCTTCAAATAGAAACCAATGGTCTGCAGAAAAAAAAAATCAAAAACAAAATAAAAACACACAGTAAATGTTATTTATTTTAAGGAGAGAGTGGTTACGAGATCCCATCCCAATAAGTTAAAGATGCAGTATGACTGGGTTGTTTACAACACTAGATCTCCCTTGGTCGCTTTGGGTTTAATTTCCACCCCAACAACTACCTAGAGTAATGTCCTTGGAACACATACATTGTAGTTCCAAGTTAAGCTCAACACATTATTTTGCAAAAAGACAACTGGTTTGCCCCAGGGGCCACTGAATTGGGATTCTCACATGTATTTGTTATGTTCACTAATTAAAAATATGTTTCTGTCCTTGTTAGCCGGACACAAGTCCCAAGATAGTGTTGTGTAGCAAGCTGATAACTAACTATGTGCATACTGGACAGGATTTGAGGGCCTCAATATAAAGAGGTTTTCCTAGGGGGGTCTCATCCCCGTCACAATTTCAACCCATTTTTGTGCTGTTTGTCTCCATTTAAGCTTCTTATGTCACTGTTTCAAGGCCATCATGCTTGTCAAAATTGTACCCTAACAAGGCCTCTGTAAACTACATTGTAATGGGTATCCTCTTCTATAAACGCCACATCATATTAAAATTTAGAACTCTACAAGATTCCAACTTTGCCAGTCCAATTTGATACTACTTAGAACTTCAAAATTGTAGATCAACTTTCAAAAATGGCAGTTGAAGAAACTACGGTCAAACACT